TCCATATGCTTTGTGCACAAATAGCGCCTGTGACTTCATTCAAACATTTTCAATTTTCTTTCTGTGTTCAAAAAAATAAAGTAATAATTTGTAAACTCAGTGGGAAAAAGTGATCATTGTTCAAAACGTTTTTCAATCTGAAACCAAATAATATCCGAATCTCGAGGAATGTCGAAATCTATACTTCACCACATATATTCGCAACGTATATTCTCTTTTTTCTCCAGGTGTACTTTCTGTGAGTGTATTACCGGCTAATGTCGATAGTTAGATAAATGTGTAGAAAGGAATATGTGTGTGTGTTTTAACAATATAACAGACTGCTACGCATATAACGTCTATGAACGATGGAACATGTTGAAACATGGAACTCAGCACTTAGTTTTAGTTTGATTTGAAACGCAGAGGCCATAATGTGTAATAGTAGTAGTGCCAAAATGTGTACTTCCTTTGAGTTTTTTTCTTCATAATTTTGTATTCAACTTTTCTTTCACCAGTAAAATGTGCGTGTTTATAAAATATGTTTTTTCAAATATTTAAATAGAAAAAAAATGAACTTTGTGAATTTATAAAGATAATAATTTGCATTGTTTCATGTTTCGAATAGGATGTATGCAAGAAGATGAATATGGAAACAAAGGAAAAGCACCACTCCCAAAAACGTAAGTGTATTCCCTTAACAGACAAAATAAGTTTAGTTTAAATCACCGATGTTTAATGTGATAATTGTGATAATTTTCTCACAGTTCTTTGGGATAATTTTTTTTTAGCCATTTTAATTATTTCCACCCAAATTGTATTTAAAATAAAATGAATTATAATTAAATTGCGTATTAATATAACTACTTCAGTTTGTTATTCAGAGACTTTAGAATTGTGAATTCTTTAGATTTCTGGACAAACCAAGTATAAGTGATAGGAACAGAAACTTTCACCCACCTGAACATGTTCTTAATTCTTATTATGTACTTTGTTCATTGAACACAGATGTAATTTGGTTTTGATTTTGTTGGTATTTCCTTGTTGGTTTTCTATATATCGAGTCATTAGTGCATTTTTCCTTTTCGTCGCATCGCTTATGTGACTCAATTAAATGATCGATTAGTATAGCTCCGAAAGTTAACCAGTGAAGATGTGTTTTACTTTTCCGCACACCCACTGTGTGTATAGTGTACACTTTTTGACCTTTTTGTTAGCACGATAACTCTTCTTAGAGAAAAATAAATCCAAATCTGATTTTACAGTGTGGTTGGGGGTTGCGAGAAATAGACTGGTGTGGCTTTTGAGCGATATTCGTTCATCGGTGTAACGATGGTATACTTACTACCAAGGGGTATGATATGCAAAAGTTTGTTAACTCGATAAATGTTTCCCCAGAGACGTTAATCAAAGTTTGAAATATGTAATGGGGGGTTTTTTGGCATGAGAAAACCAAATCCTGCGTTAGTTTTGAGATACCTCTTGAGTAAGCTCCTTTTTATTTTATTTGATTTAGTTTTTAAAAATCATTTTATTTTGAATCAGTGTATAATAAACAGAGTACGTGTGACAATTTTTGTAGCTGACAATGAATCTATATATTATTGCTTGCAAAGCGATTTTTATGTAAAAAATAGCAGACATTATAATTAAATATGAAGGAAATTGATGAAAAAGGAATTAACTTGGAAAAATTGTTTATGTGATGAAGTTGAATGAATCGACTATTATTCTTTCAAAATGAATTTTAGTTTTACAAGCTCTTTCATTATCAGTTTTACCTTTTAATTATTTACTTTTATTTCTTCTTTAAAAATAGACGATCATAAATGGGATTCGGATGCAACATAATATGAACTTTGAGCCGAACGTAATGATGAAGTCAACTGCGATGTTCACTTAGATGCCAAACGGTATGCCTATTTGTATTCAAAGAAATAATAACTAACTGTTTGGGAAAATTTATGATTTCCATCTTTTTTTCTACGTTCACTTCAAACACTTATTGAACATCAAACTCAATTTAAATCAATCAATGACATATAGCTAGCTTTTTTACTTTCATGCTGATGACACTTTACATAAACGGAACTCATTTGCGTAATTTTCTTCTCATGAATAGAAAAAAATTCCAATATTGTAACAGTAGAAGCTCAACATAAAATAAACAGTTTCGTTCAAAAATAAAGTTATAATTATGTAGAGTCGTTTGATGCTATGTTATCCACTTTCAATAAAAGTTGTGATTTGTTTTATTAAGGCAATGGACGCTTGCAATATTCCCACGTCGAACACAGACAACATTTCCACTTACATCGTATACGAAATATTTAATGTTATCAAGTCAATTTAGCCAATTATTATCAAACCCAAAATAATGTATATGAGCAAGCAATTTTTGTTTCGGGCAAATTGTTTAAGTAAATCTTTTTTAATTTATATCAGAAAGATTTAAAACAAACTGATTTCACTTTTAAATTCAACTTTATTAATCGAAAAAGAATACAATAGTATTCAAATAAATTCCATAGTTACTGCGTCACTATGTTGTTGCAAACATAAAGCTTTCCCTTTTGAATGTTCAAATTCAAACACAAATGAACGGTAACTTGATAAAAGTTAATATGCTTTGCGTGATACTCGCTGGCATACAATTTTAAATATTGTTTCCCAATATCATTTCCAACGTAAAATCAATGGCCGTGGGAATTTCTATTCTTGTAAGCTTATCGATGCTCCCAATTTGTTGGGCTCAGAAATTGTCAGAAAACTGAATGCGAAAGAGGACGAATTCTTTCAAATTGAAGAGTCCGTTTGTGAATAGTTCGTCGATTTTCAAGTTTTCTACAATACTTTCAAGTTTATCCGTTCTTTCTGATTGGAATACATTCTCCAAATACGTGAGATATGTCTAGTTTGGACAGTAGAAGGCGATATTTTCCATGAAATTAATGGATCTCATAAAGTAACAATTTCCCTTCAAAGTTAGCTGTTCTAAATTACAACGAACGGAAAGCGGAAGTTCGTGTAGTTTCGGTATTCTGATTCGTATACCCAATAATGTTCGATAAGAAGCTGTTTTAGTGTATTACCAGCAAATAATATTTCAACTGCATTTCTGTGTATAATGCAATTTTTTAGACATAAAGCCTGTACGGTAGATAACTTCTTTTTTCTCCAGTGAAGTTACTGAACTGGTTTGAATAAAACACTTCTTTAAACTTTCCCTTTTTAATTTTCTCGTAACACTCCGAGTCCAAATCAATTGAACGGACTAAACCTGGAAATACTTTTGATTTTATAAACACTCTATATTTCAGGCACTTTTCACATTTTGTCTTTGCTACAAAACTTTGGTGTGAATTGTTCTGTTGATTTTCCGTAATTAATTTGTATATTTCTTCGAAACACTTATAAATTCATATGGTCCAGGTTATTGTAGTGCTTTTCACTTTCAGGTATTGACGATATGTACGTGTTCGATCCAACAATCTGCAAATATTCTTGTTTTCTCTGAATGAACCAAGGCGCAACCTCGGCATACCCATAAATTCCATATTTTTTGTAACCAAGTGTTTTCAAACGCATCGAAATAGTAGTCTTGATTAAATGGATAGTTTAAACGATTTTCACGAATTGTTGACTCTTCGTAGTAAGCTAAGGGCATATGACATGTCCCACGCGATAATAAGCTTGTCAACTGACGTTGGATATATCACTATTATTTCTGGATTTTCTGGTATCGGAAAGCTGAATCCTTTCAATTGCATTTTTTCAAATGCTCTGTAGTTCTCTTTTCTCCGATATTATTCGATCGGTTAATTTTCTCGTACCTTCCCAAAATTCCGATTTGACTTAACACTTGAATTACAACACACCTTTTCTGTCATATCTTTTTTGTAAATCTTCCCATGCAGCTTCATAATTTTCACCTGAAAATTGATATCCTCGTATTGTGTCCAATGCTGCACCCTTGATATGGTTTCTCAACATAGTTCATCGTTTTCATGAACCAAATAGACAAAAAATTCCTTGAAATGTATCCACTCAGTTAAGTCACCATTGAAATAAGGTAGATTGATTCGATCGTGTTAGAGTTAAAACAAAATTTATTATTTTTCACAATACTTTATTTTTCACAATCCTTTGCTCGCTTTGAGCTCTGATATTTATACTACTTTTTCAGAAGTTTGGGCGCACTGGTTGCGAAGCAACCATGCCCGCGACTTGAGTATATCTTTTAATTCTATCAATTATATTTCCCATATTTCAGGTGGACATGCCTAATTGCATATAATGGTTTGGAAATGCATTTGAATTCAGGCTCTTTGCAATTCCCCTTTTAAAGTTAACAAAAGTCCGAATTGGACAAACTTACTAGATACTTACATAATTGCGTACAAAACCATTAGTGCTGAATCAAATATGCAAATTCCATAGCCACGGTGCCACTATGTCGTTGCAAACATAAATCCCATAGTAACTGCGTTACTATGTTGATGCAGGCAAAAAGCTTTCCCTTTGAATGTTCAAATTCAAACAGATCGATTTTTAAATCCACAGTTGCCCTTGAGCAAACCAAATTTTGATCATGATTTTGATCCTCATTTGTTTTCTCAGATTTTGAATTCTTAGCAGGAGTTTTAAAGAATTTTGAGCTTTGAACTTTGTTTACTGCTGTTACTGAAGCTTCCTCTTCTTCTTCGGTATACGTTGTTGTGGATCTTTTTGATGTTCAAGGTTAATTTTTTTTATTTTTACTCTTCTTTCTCAATTCCGAGTCCATATCTTTTAACTGAATTTGGTCATCATCTGATGATGTTTCATTTTCATTCAATTTTACTTTGTTTTCTTCAGTCAAAGGACTGTTCTTAACTCGTTGCGGATTTTAAGGGTGTCTGTAACCTTGTCACTCCATGTTGATTTTTCTTCTTCTTCTATATCTTTAGAAATTAGATACTAATTCGATAAATGTCCCTGGATTTGTATTTCTCGCTATTTGGCTCAATACAAAGAAATGACCTAAACGTGCTTTACGTGAAGCATTTTCTATAGCTTCATGTGAAACACTTTTCTGTGCTTCTTGATACAAAATATAAATACGAGCATTTTCACTAAGTGTAATTATAAGCCAAAACAACAAATTCAAAAATGATATAATTATTTGAAGAATATAGCATAGCCACACAATGAGAAATAATTTTTGATTCAAAATATTCAAAGGTAATAGGCATAGTGCATCGAATTGCTGAATTGTACCCGATGGTCTGTACGGTTCAAACGTACATTTACCAGTTATTGAGAAATTTTTTTCAATGTGGATCAACCAATTTATCATGTCCCCTGCCAATAGAGCTGAAATCGCTTTATAGTATTGACTCCAAAAACCAGGGATAATAATACTTAACAAAAATATGTTGAAGAGCTGAAATTTAAAGAAAAAATTAACTCATGATAGTCATATTTTTTAAATAAATTCAAATACTCACAATGAACGCAAAGCTCAGCATTTTCAATATGATGAAATGTTGTACGTATTTCATATGCATACGATCCACATATTGACTTTTGAAGTAGTCAATTAGAATATTCTTTTTCATATTCCATTTGTCCTGTTTGAATATTGCATCTGTTGAACGAGATTTACACTTTGTATTATACACATTTTTTAATCTAAATTCTATCATACCTAAATCATTGCATATCTTATGCATTAATCCTCCTTCAGTTATTTTCCATAAGTAGGCAGGCATATACATTATGATCGCTTGTATAATAAACACAAGTGAAATCCATTGATAGTATCTTTGATATACTTTATTTTCTTCGGTTGGGTTGAAACATCCTATAATTGAGCTAGAGTTGATGTCGATTTCACAACCAATAACAACACCAAAAATCTACTTACCTTTCGTTTGATTTTTGCATGTATAAGTTCCGACTGACCAGCAAAAATTATCCATTATTGCTTTACGTCCATTTGCATATAAATCAGTGTAACAATCAATTGATGTACGTAGTACATCAGTTGTTGTTAGTAAAATCGAAAAAAAAAACCAATAGAACTGGTGTAAATTTAGTATTCAACGCAAAAAAATATCTGTTGTGGTGAAGTAATTAACTTTCACCAAATTTAAAATGGGTTCAATTGATTTATACATTTTTTAAGCACAAGCACAATTTTTTTATAAAACTAAAAACAAAATACAGTAAAAACTTGAAAAATAATGTTGAACATATGGTCAAGAGCGACAACAGATCAAAACTGAATGCATAGAAAAAATTCTGCTGGTCTGAATTAGAATTGTGCGAAAACTTTTAAAATCAGTTCATTCACTTTATACATTTTAAGGTGTTTCAGTTCAAATCACTTTATATGTTTTAAGGCGTTGGAAATCACAATTCATGACAAGTGAACATTAATTTTTTTGTCTTGATTCTCATACAACTGTTTTTTCGATGGAACAAATAAAAAAAAGCGTGAAATTGCAATAAAAAAAAAAATAACACATTTTGCAACATATTTTCTTCTTCTTTTCACCACCACCACAATGCTACTTTTTCTTATCACACATTATGCAGCATTGTTTCTTCTTCTTCTTTCGCGGTCTCAATACTCGTCCACATGACTCAATTTCGAAGCTCCCTGCTTTCGTCTCTTGTTGATTCATCATTACATAGCACTCATTAATATTGTTCATATCAATTAAATTTTTTTCAATTTCACGCTCCCATATTTTGTATTCTTTTGCCGAAATAGGTTGAAGTTTTAAAACATGGAATAATTTAATTTGCTCAAATAATTCACTCATTTTACTTCACTTTGTTATTGACGAAACCGAAAATAAAGCGAAAGAATCCATTTACACTTTTGCTCTCAGGCAAGACAAAAACTGAATACATGAGAAATATATTTCACATATCTGAGTGGAAAAAAAATCATAATTCATGCTAAGCAAACATTACATTACATGTTAAAACGAACGCATCAACACAATATTTCACAAGTCTGAATTGCCAAAAATTTCGCAATTAATGTCAAGTGAACACACCTTTTGTCCAGACTCATAAATTCCTAACATAACATGTGCTCAAGTTCAAATGTCAAAACAGAATGCATGTACTCAATAATGCACCACTCTCAATGAAAAAAGTCACAAATCATCTAAAGCGAAAAATTCGTGAATATGAAACGTGAATCATAATATTTCTAATCACCACATGTTTTAATGTGTTTAAACATGTGTTCAATAGCGACAAATGTCCAAAACAAAACACCTGTGTTCCATTTTGATCCTCATTTGTTTTCTCGGATTTTGAATTCTTAGCAGGAGTTTTAAAAATTTTTGAGCTTTGAGCTTTGCTTACTGCTGTTACTGAAGCTTCCTCTTCTTCTTCGGTATACGTTGTTGTGGATCTTTTTGATGTTGAAGGTTCATTTTTTTTATTTTTACTCTTCTTTCTCAATTCCGAGTCCATATCTT